TGCACTTAGGCAGAGTCACAAAAAAGCTGGAGTAGCTTCAGAAAAGACCTATCAGAGTAAAGGGGTCTGAAAACAAGCTCTATGAGGAAAGACATACAGGTAGTTCTCGATTTATGACCACAATTGAGCCAACATTTACGTTGCCAAACAAGACAGTTGTTAAGTGAGTTTTGCCCCATTTTACAATCTTTCTTGCTACAGTTAAGTAAACCTGCAGTTGTTAAGTTAGTAACACAGTTATTAAGTGAATCTGGCTTCCCCATTGACTTTGCTTGTCAGAAGATTGCAAAAGCTGATAATATGACCCTGGGACACTGCAACTGTCATAAATACTTGCCAGTTGTCAAGCATATGAACTTTGATCACATGATAGCATTAGCAATAGTACTTAGACTTATAAACCACTTCACAATGCTTTACAGCCCTCTCTAGGCAGTTTACAGAGTCAGCATATTGCCTCCCAAATCTGTCTCCTCGTTTTACCCATCTCAGAAGGATGGAAGGCTGAGTCAACCTTGAGCCAATGAGACTCACAACGGCCGAACAGCAGAAGTAGCTTGCAGTACTTCATTCTAACCACTGCGCCACCACGGCTCATGATCATGGGGAAGCAGCAACGGTTGTGTGACAGTCATAAGTAACTTTTTTCAGCGTCATAACTTCGAACTGTCACTAAATGTATGCCTGTAAGTTGAGGACTACCATATTTCAGAAGACATTTATCAAATGCCTACTTCAGATATCATAGTAAGATGAGAATCAATGGGTTGAAATTAAATGAAAGGATATTCACTCTGAACAACATTAGGAGGAATTTCCAAAGGGAACAAATGATACACAGTCGAACAGTTTGTCTAGAACAGTGACGAAGTCCGCCTTGCTGGAGGTTTTCAAATATAGACTGGATAGTTACTGAGGATAGTCTAGGGAAATCCGGCACTGACAAAGGGTTGAATTTAAGGATCTTTAAAATGACTTCAGACTCCTACATTCTGTGAAATTGATGATTTCAGTGTATGATCTAAAATTGATTCCAGTCATGTAGTACCTTGACTTACAACTGCAACGACTTACAACTAAAATTCCAGGCTCCATTGTGATCATAAGTCGCAGACTACGTGTAATAGGAATAGACTTCAAAAGCAAACACTCTAGAACTTGGATGTTTCTCTTTTTGTAAGTGTTTGATGATGATATTATACAGCAAATGAATGCTAGCAAAGGAACAGGTTTTTGCTTGGGCATACTGGTCTGCATTACAGCAGGAAAAGCAAAGCCATTCCTTGAAGTTCTTCTATTGATTGCCACCTTCCTCCCTCTATAACAGTGTTTCTCAACCTTGACAATTTTAAGGCATGTGGACTTCAACTCCCAGAATTCCACAGCCAGCATTGCTGGCTGTGGAATTCTGGGAGTTGAAGTCCACATGCCTTAAAATTGTCAAGGTTGAGAAACACTGCTCTATAAGGAAGGAGGATCAGTTGCCTCTGTGCAGCAATGAGGAATGGTGTTCCTCACTCCTGCTATAGTATGAAGCTTAGTCTTAAAACAAGAATAATATAGCAGCAGATCTTCCCAATACTATTTTTTTCCTGTGTAGGAGAAAGATGAAGAAGAGGTCAACATCTCCCAGGAGTCTTCAGAAGAGGAACAATGAGAATAACCGACTGATTCTACCTCACAGCTCAGTTTTCCTATTTCTTGTCAAGTTCTGGGACTGAGGAAAGAAGGAAGAATCCTCACCCCTTTCCTGACCTGATCTTTCCAACGTTCTCACAGTCAAAACAGCAACACTAGGGTACAGTGTAAAACAGATCAACCATCATATTTGATGTGTAATGTTTAATGGGAGAACTTTATATTTTGTTTTCCCCTCTCATTTGACAGGGTTAAGAGTTTAGCCTACCAATTCATGTAATTCTGTATTATATCTGTTTGATCTATTTCTCCAGAACACTCCTTATCAAGAAAGGGGTTTATAAATCTTTATAGTGACCACTTATTCATGTTGAAAAGAGTGGACAGCCTAGTTCTTCCTAATCAATCCTAATTTCCACTTCAGAGAGACCATAATACTCTCCAAAAGGATAACTTGGCACTGGCAGAAAGTTTGCCGAGGAGGAAGATTTGAGAGCATTGTTATTTTATTTTTTTTCTGGGAAATGAGTATAATGGGATAAATGCCACAACATTAAAAGGATGGATACATTATTTTTTACTACTGTAAGGCATTTGCAAGAATAATTGAGAGGAAGTTGTCCTATCCTTCTCACCCAATTTCCAATAGTTCAAGAATATAGTGCTTTGCAATCGGTCTGTGTATTCTTGTTGACCACATGCTACCCTGCCCCAATCAGCTGCCTTAAGGCCAGAGCAGTTACACTTGCATAGGCTGAGGTGTTTGGGGTGAATCTGACCTAAATTCTCATCTTTTCCCCAGGAACCAGAGATCCTATTTTTTTCCCCTTTTCCATTTCCATCTGTCCCAGCTGCCAGTGCACAAATGGAGCGTACAACTGAAATGTTTTTCAATTGGTGCTCAGTCATTCTGCACAGAAATGATATTGAACAAGACTTTGCCATGATCAAGGAAAGCAGGATGGCAAAATTCTCTCCCTTCGTGGTCTCTCTTTGGGTTTTTGTGATTTTTCTCTTTTGGAAATAGCAGTTAGCAGTTGACAGTTGTCTTTCCATTATATATTGTTTGTCAAGGTTTTCCTTCTTAATTCACAACTACCTCTGGATACGTTTGAGTTTCATTCTCTTAAAACACAGATTGCTGCTGTTTGTTGCTGCTGTACTGATTACAAAGTTTTATTTCAACAGGTTCTGTCTGGTTTTTCTCTGGAACTGACATTTTACACTACAGATAATTTCATTTCAGTTGACTTTTAAAACTATTGTGCTATTAAAAAGGGATAAAAGCTCTTCTTTGTCAGACTGATGAATGATTGGGGAGAGGGAGGTTGTGAAAGTGGACACTATTATAAATACTAGGCTCTACTATGGAAACCCCAATCACAAATAACTTCTGAAAGTATAGATATGATTTCTTTATACTGCTTTTTTCAAAACATACCCATTTCTTTCTGTCGGGCATTTTTTTCTTTTTAAAGCTGTATATTAGCTATATTAAGAATTTTGAGACCTCATGATAAGTACTCCCTAGGTACAATTTAGCAGAAAGCAAACTGGTCAGAATGCTTCTCATCCACTCCTTTTATACCACTCTAGCATAGCTTTTGTCTTTTCTCTGGAAAGTGAAAACTTCCAAATAAAGCATTGGACTACAATCACCCTTTATTGCTTTGTTATCTTAGAATGCTGATATGGGATCAACAAATATTTCTAGAAATATTTTTGAAATTTAAAAATATTAGGTGCCTGGGTAAGGCATCAAAGGGGACATTTACACATACACTGTGCTCATGGAAACTATATAGCCTACCCTTCTGCCCACTCACCTTCTTCTTCTGCATTTGATATATTTCATAAAACACTCTTAAAAGGGAACAGAACTGAGCTGGTTGCATTGAATATCCAGTATATTATATAGAAGATAACTGTTATTCATTCAGTAAAAGGCACAAACATTTTAAGTAAGGATTGCAATAATTCCTGAACTGGTCATTAATTAATATCATCAGTCAGTCTCCAGCATCTGCCCAATGGATTGACATTTGTTCATCTTCCAAGACCAGTATAACTTTGCCTCTCTTTATAAATATACAAGAGCGATCCCTGTTTAAAACTCTCATCTTTCTAGCCTGGATAGCGCAATTTGCACAATGCCTGAACAAATTAGTTTCCAATTTAAAAATTATTTTTGGCAGTGATTAAATAATAAGACAATAGGAATCTGTATTACTATTGTTCCATCTAGCTCAGTATTGACACAGAATGACTGAAAGTAGGATTTCCGCCGATTTCTCCTGCCTCATTTGAATATGCCAAACACACAAAAAACAGGATTTTCTGTGTGCATTGCATGTTATGTACTCAGGCAAAAGGATTTAACTTTGTTTGCCTGCAAAGAAAGCAAACCTTGTTTATTAAGTAGGCACATTTTTTTTTAATCTTTATCAGGGCAATAGCAGAGAACAGTATGAACTCTTCCCTTCCTAAGGGTTATATGAAATATCCTTTCCATTACCATGCTTGATAATTTTAATTGACCTATGGCAGTGTTTCCCAAACTTGACAATTTTAAGGCATGTGGACTTCAACTCCCAGAATTCCACAGCCAGCGTTGCTGGCTGTGGAATTCTGGGAGTTGAAGTCCGCATGCCTTAAAATTGTCAAGTTTGGGAAACACTGATCTATGGTTATGTGAGGTCACAATGCAAAAGGATAGTATAATCAGTAGCTTATAGCATATAAATTTATTACTAAAGATTGTGGTTTACTTGAATAAAATGAGTAATGTTTTAAACTTTTCTTTCATAGCAGTAGACCAAAAAAAAAAAATAAACCTGAATTCATAGGGACCTCAAAAGGCACAAAGAGGATTCTTGTCATCAAATTTGTCACATGTCCTTGCTCCATTCTTAATGCAGCAGGCAATATTTTTACTTGTAATATACTGTATGCTTAAACCTAAACGACATTTGACATATATTTGGTGGCATCTTATTCTTCACTTCTTTTATCACTTCTGGTGTTGAGGAAGATGCAAAGTTCTGGTTCTTGCACTTCAGGCGGCCTCAGCGATCATTATTTGATGCTGTTGTAGTGTGTCTTTGATGTTGTGTCTCCACCTTCTTCTGGGTCTGCCTCTTTGGCCCTCTCTTTTTGTATGTGCCTTGTACAGTATAGAATCCCAAGAAATTTGATGGTATAACTGGAATAAAAGTTCTAAATATTGAATCAAGAGCTAGTCAGTCTTGCCATTTTCCTAAAACTGTTCTTCCCTCTTCCCATGCTTTTGCTTGAAACATGGGATTTCTGGGGGGAAATCCATTTTTTTTTATTCATTCTAATATTCACAAACTGCACAAGTATTTGGGCGACAATATTTAATTAGAGAGATGTAAAATCCCTGCTTTCTACTATTTTTAGAATTTTTAGATCTATCACCAGAAAAACACCTTTAAAAAATTAAAATTGTCAAACCTGTCTGAATATCTTCAATTCCTACTGTGTGAAGAAAGTACATGAGCAACAGTCTTGGATAGAGAAATGTAGATATTGGAAAGGCTGCACTGTATATGTTTCAGTAGCTGCATAGAGAAGTTGGTGCAGTTTATCATGTCATGATAGTATATTAACATAGAAAATTCTAACTTTATTAGATCGGGTGTCATGGGTTTTATTTCCTAATCTGAACAGAGACAAAAAGTGGTCTACATTTTTAAGAATTTAGTGGATTCCTAACCCCTAATAATTGTAAGAATAATCAGATTTAAGGTACTTCTTTTAAAAGAGATGTAACCTATATTCAACAGAAACACATTCCCAATAAATAGTACCTGAATCCCCAGATGTTCTTCAGTATCAGATCTGAAATGAGTATTTCAGTATGCTTCTGGGCCAAAACAGACTTGATGGCAATATGCTCTAAAGCTAATTGGAGAGAATTTCTGTAAAATGAAAGTGGATTACAGCTAGGATCCCAAATTCATGTTTCACAACCATAATGATACACTGCAGAATATTTTGGTCAGAATGTCACTTTGAATATACTCTAAATAGAAAAAGATTACTTTTTGTTTCTAACTCCTGTTATCAACTAATGGACCACTACTACAACCGATTCTAGAATTTTAATTTTTGCATCCAATGGATGTTTACAAAAAAAAAAAACCCTTTTGTTTCTAAAAACAGAACAATTTGCCTCTCAAATGCTGATCTGGAGGGAGCTCAACTGTTTAGAACAGGTTTGCTCAGGTCAGGGGTTCCCAACTGAGGACGCAAGATGCGAAAACTTGGGTTTTCAAAATTATAGCGTACATGCATAATTCGTTGCTGTTATTTCAAACTTTTCTAAGGGGTGCAAGAATATATCAGAAGCGTTCTAGGGGTGTGGGGTATAGAAAAGATTTACCTAAGCTGCTGACTTAGGTAAAGAAGGAATGGCAAAATCATCCTGACTTGATGCTCCTGGCACTAGCTGATATCTGCCAATTGTATATCTGATTCCAACTAGTGCACTGCATTTGACTTAATTTTTTACAAAGATCAAAACAGGAATTTTCATTTTGCCCAACAGAAAATTAACTCCAACCATATGACAAATCAAAGTAGCAATCTAACACTCAGAATGCCTCAAGCTGAAGGTTACTCTTAAATCTATTCTTTAGCTGCTGTGGGGATGGAAATACATAATCTGTATCTGGGAAATTTATTTCTATTTTGAGACATTTAGTAGTATGGAAGTAAATGCAGTACATAAACGAAAGAACAAGCATTCAGTACATTTAGAAACTAAAATTCATGATTGGATGTAAATCATGACTGCAGTTTTTTGCCTGCAGACCCATAACAAAGCAAGGAGTAATAACAATATGAGATATAAATTAAAGGCATATAGATGGGGACAACATAAAACAAATTACAGTGCAGAGTCCATATTGATTTCATTTGAAGATGATGCAGGAAATGGCAACTAATTTTCTTCATGAATTCAGCCCATGTAGCTGCACCACCAGTTCATCAATCTTGTGTGTTTAGGAAGAGAAGCAATAGTTACAATGTGCATTGCCATTCAGCCTTGTCATGCCAATCTTTTTCTTTGCATTAGGAACACATTGTCAACCTCAAAAGGCACCAGATATATGCAATATAAGTTGCATCCCAATTTTCTTAAAATGTGTGGAAGACCCCCAACTTTGCTTAAAATCAAAACTTCGGGGGAAAAAGACATAAAGGCATTAAGACATTTTCTCAAAGTTACCAGTGCAGCTTTCTCATTAGGTGCATAATTTGTGTCCATTTGTTGAGTTCAGCAAGCAACGAGTAGCACAATTTTTTCAGCTTCAGCAAAACAGCAGTGACACTACTGCACCAATATGTCAGTCCATCTCAGGTATATCAATGGTAACAAGCTGTATTCACAAACATAGGCATAGCAGGTTATAGTACTGGAAAAGCTTGATTGTTTTGCCAGTTACTCCTAGTCAGGTTCAGTTTTATTTATAAAACAGATGATTTCTCAAATACCAAATATACAGTAAGTCCCTATTGAGCTCAAACATGTCATCAAAGAAAATAGATCTCAGAAATAACTATAGTCCTTTCTGATAGACATGCTAAACATCTATATGAACTTTCTAGCTAAACTGCATCCTTCCAGCATGTAACACATAAACAATTCCAAAGCTGGTGACATATACCCGTTATCCCTATTTCAAGAAGTATACCACCACCCCTCAAGCACTGAGTTATGCATTTGGCAATTTTATTCACTTTGCTTGCATCTGTTCAGCAACATGTTACAGGAATCCAACCATTTTAAATAATACACCCTTTTACATTCTTAAGCATGTAAGGAGAGAAGGCAGCTAGCAATGTGTGCTGGAATATCATAGCAGCTGCATTCTGATGCTCTTTGTTCACAAAAGGAAATGGAGGTTGACTGCTTTGTTTTTGCTTTGCTTAATGAAGCCGAACTTTTGAGGATTGATGCCCATAATGCAAGAGCTATTCAGTAATATTTTACTCAAAAATTCATAAACTCCTGTATCTCATCATCCACATAAAATGCAAATCAGGAGACAATTGATACGAAGAATGATGCCACATAGCAAGCTGTCCTAGTTCCAAACACAATTCTCCAACCCCTCAGGCTGCTCTTTGTATCAGGTGTCCAGTGCCAATCTCCTTGACATGGCTGGCACCCATTACACCTTCTGTTACTGGAAGTCATGGCAAGAGGCTGTAGTACTGAAGTGTAAAGAAAGGCAGCAACGTTAATGGCATTCAGGTTGGCACACATGCCAGGTAGGTCATCCATCTACACTCTTACGATCAGTCTGAGCTGAGTACCATCAAGCTTTCACATCCATAAATGAATTGCGATAAGGCTGGTATCCTCCCCAACCTCGCATGACCTGTAATACACAGACACATACTTAATATCACCACCAGACTTTCATTAATAGCATCTTTTCAAAGAATAGGCAGCTTCCACAGCCTATTATTATGACTGAGGATAATAACCTGGCAGTTTTTATTACAATTAGAGGCTTGCTTCCCTAACTCAGCCACATGAATGGAAATCCTCCAGTAAACTTTTAATGGGAAGGAGATGGATGCTCCGTCTGCAATTCCAATACTGCATCGTTTTGGAAGCCACTTCAAGAAAACAAAAATGGAGACAGCGTTCTTTGTGGAAAATCACCTTTGAAACAGAAAGGAGAAAAACCAGCTCCCATGCACTGGCTATGTGAAACAGCTAGGCTTAAGCATATTTATGCTTCTGTGAACAATTCACTTCCTTTTTTATGCAGCCATGAAAAATGGACAGCCAAGGATCTTTTTTTTTCAACATTTTTCATTTCAACACTGTTAACAGATAGAGCAGAATACTGATTACACATACAGTAATATAAAAATAACTCCTTACACATTGCTTATTTTCTAGCATGGTCCATAAAAACAGTCAAATGTCCTAATAATATTTGGCTTTTTTAGCTATACTCACACCTTTCTGTAATTCACTAAGCAAGCAAGATCTCCAACTGCAACTTTCTAATGTTGTTTGTCAGACTTAAGAAAACTAACTCTTCATCCTCCCCTCATTTTGACTTGTATCCCACACATTTCTGACAGAGCCAGACAACAAAAAAAATGTTATTTTTCTTGAGAGTAACCTCCCTATTTTGTTTGTAAAAGGCTGTATCTTGAAAGACACAAGGCACTTTTGAGGGGAAAGCTTTGTGATGTGTGCCAAAATTTCTGCATTACAGTAGAATGCACAGTTTATCCCAGATATGCACACTGCTGTTAGCTGTTTGCTTTTTTATGGGAAAAAATAACAGTGATGAGAAAAATAAATTGTATATAAAAAGGCTCAAGCTAACTCATGACACTCCTAGAGGCAGTATATCTGAACCAGGAGGCTCAAGGAAAAAAAGCATAGCTTCAAACTACTCGTAGTATTCAACTTATGACCACATTTGGGACCCAAACTTGTTACTGTGATCTAAATTTGAACCAGACCCAATTTTTTACAGCAGCTGTTAAGCATATCACAGGATCATTAAACAAATCCAGCTTCCCCTATGGGCTTTCTTGCTGGAAATTGGCAAAAAAAAAAAAAATTGTATTTTGACACATGTTGCCTGACCTGGTTAAAAAAGTGGGTGAACCTCCAGAATAAGAGGCTACTTGATTTGGAAGGTGATGAATTAAGGTTTGGTTATTTATGGTAGGGGTCCCAAACCCCTGGTCCATGGACCAGCACTGGTCCGCGGCATGTCAGAAACCGGGCCGCGCAAACAAGTGAAATCCCATCCATGGGATGCAGGTAGCACACAAAACCATGCCCCCTCCGGTCCGTGGAAAAACATCTCTCCACAGAACCCATTTGAACATGAAATTGTCCATAAGTATCCTGAAACATGACTCTGCAATAGGTATGTAATGTGTAAAATATCAGTAAGCTTACTTTAGTGTCGTCCGGCTCCACTAGGAGTTCTTGCTCAGCCTCATGCAGCTCCTCTGCAGGATCATAACTGTACATTGGCAACAGATGATGGCGTAGTCGATCGTATCTAGAAGGTAATTTTGTCAGAGTATAACCTAAAACTGTCCTCAAGCAATTGAAAGTTGCTACAACTTTTTTCTCATGACCCTGGCACTGTCTTAGGCAAGGTAGAGCTAGATCATAAAGCAATGTCAGGGATGAACAACAGTCATAATTTCAATACAATAAATATTTTGAAATCTCAAGTAGTTTACTGTTCAAATGTGCTAGATCATTGTTTCTATTAGTCTCATGAACTAATAATTATTTTCAAGTAACTACACAGGTCCAAGTTTCAGTCACAGATCTGGTTTATATTTTGATAATTTATCTTAAGTTCCAATCATCAGTTGCCAGTCTTTAGCAACCTGATACTCTTCAAATGCTCTGAACAACAGATTCCAGAATTCCTAGATATAGGAATTCAGGAAATTGTAGGTCCAATACATTAAGCAGCACAAAATTAGGTGCACTATAAGTAAGCTTTGCATTGAATATGCATTTGTTTTTGTCAGAGGAAAACTTTAGAGTTAACTAATATAATAATAAAATACACAGATGATTTAGCACATAAAAGAACAGTCCATACCAATATTGACAAACCACTTTGCACGTTAAATGTTTATTTTGCATCCACCTAAAATTATATCATACTTACATACTATGGATATTTACCCGGAACATGTAAATTATACTATAGTGAAATGTTAATTTATGGATTATAATGAACTAAGAGTATGGATAGTTCTTCTAATTATAATCCATCTACATTAAACCCATGACTAATGAAGCATCATACAAACTGCATCCATGCAGCAACAAATCCTGTGATTTTAAATGATGAATTCCACTTTCCCACCATAACTCAACACATTAAGCTAGTATGCTTAAAACAGGTATCATTATTCACTATATCAGAAAACAATTGTGATGTGATCATTTATAACTATCCACAGTAGATCCTACAATACAACAGCTATTGAAAGAATTATATTATTTTTAATATAAGATTAAAAAAGAGTTACTAGTCAACTTCATATGCTTCTTATTAACTTTTAATGTAATTCCCAGCAGCCATTTTCCAGGGGCATTTAATGAAAGAAAAAAGAGGAACATGTCATAGTTAAACCAACATACACAGAAGCAATGTGCATTATTCCACTTTACATTATTTAATGAATTGATCTAACTCTGTTTACAGTAGAGTAAGTATGTAATTGACTGCATTGTTTTAAAAAAAAAAGAGTCCCTTCTAGTAAGAAGATAGATTTGAAAAGACAAGCTCAAAATCTACTACTGGAATTTCTTACCTCCTTTTTTTCTGGATATACATCATCTGCAATGACAAAGGGGAAGGGGAAAATAACTATGAGAGGAATGTGAATCTGCTCTAGACATTATTTCTTCTAACTAGGAATAAAAATAAAGAAAAAGAATAGAAGGAATGTGAACATCAGGGTCAACATTTGTTTCATTAGTCTATGTGGAATTCTCACAAGAGGCATGCCACATAATAGTAACATGCAGAGTACCCAGTTCATTTGAGATGTGACCTTAAGTGTCAAATGACAAGGATATTGACAAATGTAGCTTTATGTAGATAAAATCTCACCAATGTTTCCAGAGACCAACCTGGTACCCTCCAGGAATATTGGATTACAGCTACTTTATTTCCCTCAACTTAATATTTGATAATATTAACTAAGGACAATGAGAACTGTAGGATACCACAGTAGGGATGACTGTATCTTTTCAGTGGAATAGACTAAAGAAAGTCCTATTTTGGCATACTTCTTATGAAAGCTATGGTCCCTTAAGAAGCTGATTTCAATTTGTGAGCATCTTGAGGTAATTACAAGTTTCAAGGGCCTGAGTTTATGCAATGAAGTGTTTGTTTGGGCTATGGCTTCCAGATACACTGAACATAAAAACCAAAAGTAGAGCAGCTTTCATATAATCTACTTATATATCTACATAAAGCTATAAAATTCTTCAATCAATTTACATTTTAGGCACTAGCATTTTAGGCATACAACTAAACTGAAACATTTATTTTTTCCAAACTTGATAATATAAGGCTTCTTACAGTATCCAGGAATTCTAGGCTAAGCATCATTGAAAGCTATTGGAATTGTAAGGAAGAAATACTTTTGCTCAACCTAAAAGGGAAAATGTAATGCTTATAGAAAAGGGAAGCCAGATTATTTTTATTTATGTAATATATTACTAAGTAATGATCTCAAAATTCAGTCTTCCCAAAACAAGCATTTCATCCTATTGCATTCCTACATCCAATAAAGTATTACCATTTTGACAAAGCACTAACAGCAACAAACAAACCAGCTGTACTCCTCTCCCAGGTATCCTGTGCGCTGGGATGTAGTCCCAACACACCTGGAAAGAACAATATTAGAGAATATTTTGTTAATCTATATAGGACTCAGGTCTGTGGGTGATCTGAAAATGCTGTTGGTAAAAAGAAGAAACATTTGTGGAGCTAAGTAAAGGACAACAGTTTTCTCCAAAACTGTTTCCCCCACCCTGGAATAGAGGGTGACTGCATAACGCACACAAGTGACAACAGACAGAATTCTCATATTACTTTTAAAAAGTTTAATTATAAATTTTTGTGACTTAGGTCACTGGGATTTCCCGAGATGCAGTGTTCACAAATGGGCATTTCTAATTTAAAATGGTACTGACTAACTGAAAATACTGCAACTGTTACAACAGAAACTATTGACTAAAAATTGATATTGAGACTCATCTTTTTTTTCCAAAGAAAACTTTCCAGCATATTCCATCGTTGACATAAAAACTAGAGCAGCATTTCTCAGCAACTTTAAGATGTGTAATCTTCAACTCCCAGAATTTCCCACCCAGCATGCTGGTCTAGAAACCAAGTGCTTCTGTCTTGAGTCCACTCACCACTGCCATGATGATGCCAGCAATAGTGATAAGGAAAAACGGCACTAGAATATAGCCCACCAGGGAGTCATTGGTTGGCCCAGCAGAAGTGGGCATGGTGGTATTATTCATGGCATAGAAAACTTGCTTGACAAGATCGGAGAAGCAGCTCCTGTCATCATTGGGAAGTCCACCTCACAACAATAAAAAAAAAGTTTAGGATTAAAACACATTCTACAACTTGCCAAAAGCCACTCTTCTCCTCCTCCCCAACCCGCTGCCTTCAAGCAACTGACCATAAGACAGTCACAAGAATATCACATGCTACTCCTCACATTAGAATCAATAAATGAAATCCTTTAAAATATTTAGCCCTGAGATAGCAATCACAGCTAAATGAAGCTGATAAAAGGGGCAAGAAAAATAAACCATTCCAAGACAAAAAGAGAGTGACAAGACAGAAAGGTAGACCAATGGAAATAATGCTGGCATCTTGGTCTAGCTAGTATAGCTGACCTCTAAAATACTCTTGAAGAAATGCTTTCATCCATCTCACTTTCTAGATATTTCCCATAATGGAGAAAGGCAAAACTGCAACCCTTACCCCACACCTCCCAGCACATTCTATCAGTAAAATTTACATAGCAAAATTTGCTCCATGCTAGGCTCACTCACAAAACAAAGTACAAAAACTTGTTTTGGTCTTAGGTTAATAAACCTGTGGCCCTCCAGATGTTGATGATAGAGCTCCCAACAGACATACCCAGAATGGCCAATGGAATAATAGTAGAGAATTGTAATCAGCAACATATGGAAAACCGTACATTTCCCACTTCTTTAGACACATGCAAATTTAGAATCAAGCAAAGCAATCTGGGTTAATTCAAATAGATACAACATGTTTTTCTGTATGGGACAGAAAAAACACTAGTTTTTAGCCATTAATGCTACCACTGTTCTGACTATTATAAGAAAATAGAAACCTGTAGTTTAGTAAATGGGCCATAGTTTTCTGGTAAAGCACATAATTTGCTTGCAGAATATGCCAGGCACAATCCCCATTATCTCCAGGTACAGATTTGTTTGGTAATCCTGTCCAACAATGCTGGCTTAGTCTGTGGTTCATATCTTCATATTTTCAAAATACTCATAAATAAATAATCTTATAGGAATATTGGATAACTTTTTTTTCAAATTCTGAATTGGGAGTACAGGTTTTCATTGTAAATGCAACCGAAATACAGGATACAAATACAATCTAGATCAGTGTTTCTCAACCTTGACAATTTTAAGGCATGTGGACTTCAACTCCCAGAATTCCACAGCCAGCATTGCTGGCTGTGGAATTCTGGGAGTTGAAGTCCACATGCCTTAAAATTGTCAAGGTTGAGAAACACTGATCTAGATTTATATTACTATGAGATGTAAAAAGCCAAGTTGGACCAATTCCTTGTGGCCCCTTGTAATGGTATGTGGGAATGACCTTGAGAGTTAGAATTAGGGTTAGGAGGAGGAGATACAGCCTAGGAAATTATCAGCTAAAAGAGAGAGGAGCCTGCAAATGCTTAATAGACAAAGAAATTTAAGAAGGAGCCGCCCTAAGGTATCAGACAACAGGAGATTTATGGTTTCTGCTCTGACTTGCAAGTTCTGTTAATGTAATCTGACAATAACATAGCACTGGTTCCTGTGGTCATGTTTTCTGTCTAGTCACCTGGGAAGGCTGATACCAATCTTGCAAGTCTCAAAATACAAATCTCTCCTGGTCATCAATGTGTTATAGCCCAATACATTAGAGTGGATCTTTCTTAAATGTCTTTGCTTGTTAAGCATTTGAATAGGGACCCTCAAATCTCAGGTGGGAGGCCAATCCAAAGAACTGGGACATCTACAAAGGTAAGAGATGGTCCCACAAATCTGGCTCTGTGTCATGTAGAACTTTAAAGGTGATAACCAGCACTTTTAACTACATCCAGAAAGCAACTAGGGTCTAAGGCAGGCATGTCAAACTTGTGATGTCACGCAACGTATCAGAGCTTTCTCGCCATTGTCGGCAATGGGGTGGGCGCGGCTCTGGTATGATGAAACCGGCCCACGGGCTGGCAGTTTGACACCCCTAGTCTAAGGCAACTGATGCAGCAGTAATGTAACTTGATGAATCACGGGGTAACCAGAACTATACATGCCACAGTAGTCTCAGCCAACTGCAGCTTCTGAATGTTCTTCAAGGACAGCCCCATGTACATAATGCAGTAATCTAATCAGGAAGTGATTAAAGCATGACTGTGAGCAAGCCTCCCAGTCCAGGAATAGTCACTACTGGCACACAAGCAAAGTCCCCCAGCTATGGCTGCCACCAGCTCTTCCAACAGGACTTTCAAATATAGGAGGACTCTCAAACTGCATTATCAATTCTGTCCAGGAGAATGTTACCCCCTCAAGAGTCAAAGATGTCAGCTCTCTTGATCCCAGGGGGCCAAAACCCCACAACCATTCCATCTTACTGGATTGCATTCTGTTTCTCCCCATCCAGGCCCTTATAGCTTTCAGACCCTGAAAAGGAAGTTAAACAGCATCACTTGCCCACCATGAGGTAGAGATGCATAATTTGGTATTGTCAGCACCCTGATAATACTGAACCCCAGATAAAGCAAAATTTATCTTGAGCTAACAGAATGTGAAGAAAGAACTATAGAAACAAATGAATTCAATGCCTAGGAGACTATCTATTTCACAGCTATAATTCAATACTGGAGAATCATTCCCATGTTAAAAAAAGAAGCTGGGAATTAAATGGAAGGACACCATCTATGATAAACACTTGTGGAAGTAAATCAACCTAGTTAACAGGAGATATTTCTTTAGATACTTTCTGTAACAACTCTTAAAAGTCCAAACAAACACCACATTCTGAGCACTTATAGATGATATATTCCCATTTATTCTGAAAGCCACAACAATTCAGAATGGCTGGCGGAGTGGAGATTTGAATTGGGGCCTTTTATCCCCTTCATCTGTCTTGCAATCTGGCCCTCCCTAGATTTTCTGTGGTCACAAGAAACAAACTTTCAGCAACCACATTCACTGATTAAGCGACAGCTACCAGAGCTAGGCTGCAAACATCCAGATTAACACTAGATGAAAGCAAAGAGATACAGAAGATTCTATCCTTTTACTGCCTTCTAGTTACTGCCTTAACCTCTGCTGTCTGGATATAGCAGTCATATTAAATAATAGCTGTATTATACATTTGGCAACCTACCCATAGTCAGCCAAACCCATAGTCAGCCTAATAATTTCTTAGGTAAGACTACAATTGGCTTGGAGAGTTCCATGGCACCCTATTAAGTAGTCTTCGGCTTATGACCACAATTGAACCCAAAATTTCTGTTGCTGAGCAGGACCGTTAAGTGAATCACTGCAGTTAAGTTAGTAACACAATTGTTAAGTGAATCTGGCTTTCCCACTGACTTTGTTTGTCAGGTCGCAAAAGGGGATCACAGTAACAGACATAAATACATGCCAGTGGCCAAGTATCCAATTTTGATCATGTGACCATGGGGATGCTGCAACATCGTAAGTGTGAAAAATGGTCACAAGTCACTTTTTTCAATGCTGTTGTAACTTTGAACAGTCACTAAATGAACTGTAAGCATGGTCTGACTATACATTAGACTCATGGTCATCTTATGCATTTATACATTCATATAATGTATTTCATGTATACATAAATGTATATTACATAATGCATAATATATTTCATATAAATATGCAGAGAGCCAGTTTAATCCAATGATTAAGGCACCAGGTTAGAATCCAGGAGACTGTGAGTCCTACTCCCATCTCATACATGAAAGCTGGCTGGGTGACCTTGAGCCAATCACTCTCAGCTCAACTCATTTCACAGGGTTGTTCTTGTGGGGAAAACAGTAGAGAGGAGTATTAGGTACGGTATGTTCATTGGCTTGAGTTATTTATAAAAAATAAAGGTGAGATATATGAATATAAGACCCTGCATGGGATGTACCATCTATAGATAGCTGAGGTGGCAGACATTGGGAAATCTTACCAATGGCTGGAAAGGACTAAACTAAAAAAAAACAGCACAGAAGCACTAATCATAGCAGCACAAGAACAATCAGTAAGCACCAGATCCATAGAAGAGTCAAAAACCAAAGTGCTTCAGAGACAGTCCAACACATAGTTGCAAGGTATAAGATGCAGACAGGAACAGCATACACTGAGTGAAAAAGCTAAGAAGCTGGCATTGTGTACAGAAACATCTGCAGTGTATGGGCTAGTCCAGGGGTCCCCAACCTATGATCCACAGTCCCAGGCAGCGGGCTATTGGCCAGTGAGCCACAGAAATGGCTGGCCGGGGCACGCACATGTGGGTGCGCATTCCCCCCCACTCACGCTACTGCCTGCGGTCCCATTTGCACAAGTGTGCAGGCGCAAACGGGGACACTTGCGTGGAATGGGTGTCCACAGCCCATTCACACATGCACCACTAGTCTGGGTGGTTTGTGCAGCCCGTTTGCACATATGTGAATGGGCCACTAGCCACTATGGGGTGTGCACAGCCGTTTGCGCATGCGCTAGTGTCTGCATGCGTGAACGGGGCTGCTAGTGCTGTGCCAGTGTGCACGGCCCTGTGCACACCAATTTTGAAGCTGCTCTCATTCCCTCCAGTCCGCAAGCCCGGAAATGTTGGAGACCTCTGGGCTAGACTCTCCCAAGTCCAGATGGAAGATTCTACAAAAGGTTGTGGAAAATAACAGTGCTAAGATCCTGCGAGACTTCCAGATCCAGATGGACAATAAGATACTGGTCAATCAACAGACATCATGGTAGTAGACAAGAAGCAGAAGGCACAAGATGGTGATAGATGTGGTGGTGCCAAGTAAAAGCAACATCAGGAAGAAGGTGTACAAGAGGCTAGAGAAGTACAAGTACTGAAGAAGGAATTAGAGAGGATGTGGAAAATAAAGACCAGCAGTGATGACAGCATTCAGGACTGTCACTCCTAAGCTCCAACAAATCCTCTCCATCCAGAAGAGTGGTGTGCTAGAAACAGCTAAAATACTGCGCAGAACTCACAAACTCCTAGGGCTCTGTAAGAGTCAATAGACTTGAGTTTTGGAAGATTTTTCACAAATATATAGTCGCAAGTTGGTTACTGACTACTGCAATATGTTATGATGAAAATAAAGCATACATGAAAATAGTTTAGCAAACGGTGTGGTATTGATGAGGGAGTAAGCAAGGGTGTGTGATGTGTTGGTTGTTTAACATATTTATGATTAATATAGAAATAATACAAATATGTATGTTTTCTATGATTTCCCATACAGTATGGTTAGTTCAGAACCCAAAGATCTCCAGTGAATGTTACTGTTTGATGCAATGAGGAGTGAAGAAATTTTTAGACAGATGCTGATAGGTGGGTATGTGCTAAGTATAAACAATGAATAACTTTGAAAGAAGTAAAACTAGAGGGGGACATGAAAATGCTTCATCAAATGGACATCAGTTTTGAAAATTCATGAGAAATATATAAGAGGTTGAATAGAGTGGGAATGGGGGACTTAAGCATGTGGGTGAAACAAAAGAGAGACTGTTCAATATGGGAGTTGAACAAATGAAAAGTGTTCAGTATGAAAAATATATGTTGAAGTGGTTTGGATATACAGAAAGAATGAACAAATGAGTTAATAGAAGGAGAAAATTGAGAAAGTCATGATGGGGTGGATTTGATGAGATCTTGAAAAAGAGGAAGGTGAGAAATTTAGAGAAGATAGATAAACAAGTATGTAGACATTGTGGAAGCAAGAACAAGATAGAAAGATTCCAAAAGGCGTAATGCATGGCATTGGTGTAACAGACTTTTAACTATTTCACCTTCCTTCTCACCTCAAATAACATAGTCTACCAGGAAAGAAAAGTTATATAAACAAAACCAGTGTTTTAACAGTCAAAGATTATTTTGACAATATTGATTTACTTACCCATATCTACTCTTTTTTTACATTTACACAACCCCTTCAAATGAAATTATTTCTCAAGAACTGGAGCCTAAGTTGTATCCTATGATTCCACACCCTCCTCTGATTTCTATTAAGTAAGAAAGCCTAAGACCCTATGAAAGGAAATCATAAAATTATCCCAATGTATATTATTTTTTTAAAAAATGTATAATCATAATCATGAAAATCTGAAAGGCTACCTTATTTGCACTTATTTAGCCAAAATGCTCCCAAAGAACTTTAAAAAAAAAAAAAAATCAAAGAACAGTGCTCAACTTGGTTTAGAAAAGCCACAGTGTGGTGTTTCTCAGCCTTGGCATTCCCAAGGAATTCTGAGAGTTGAAGTCCACACATCTTAAAGTTGCCACGGTAGAGAAAGGCCCCACTCCACCAGATCTCGACAAACAGAAGCAGCCTCCACTGAACCAAAAGGCTTTCGTTCAAGGGGACGACAGACCATTTGGGAAGAAGGCCTATATAATTCAGCAGTTCTGTTTACTTCCGAGTAAACAGAACACAAGCCCACATTCATCCCAATCATGGAACAGCGTCCTCTGGCAAACTCAAGAATTCAAGGCCGGCCCGTCTTATTCACCTAGTGTTCAAGCCGAGGCTTAATTCCTCTATTCCTCCTGTTTCCAGCAACGGCAGCGCTTACCTCTTCGGCATTCCCAGGTTTACAACAGCATCTCCATATATAAAAACACCTCCGCAACACTCATCTTCTTCCCGGAAGTCTCGCCTCGAACTGGGGGTGGAGAGAACACACAAGAAAATCAATGCGTCTCCACCTCCCTGCCATTTCCCCAGAGACTCATTCACTTCTCCATTTGCTTTTCACAGGGCCAGTTCTTACCTCCCTTCCTCCCCTCAGCTCCTCCGGGGAAACGTTTGGTTGCTGCAAACAAACACACGCGCCCTCCCGTTTCTGCAGCTCTCGAGCTTCTCGCGCTTTCAAACACCGGCAGAAGCCAAAAGGCGCGTGACTTCCCCGTACATTAGAGGGGAAGAGCAGCAGCCAATCCCAAACAAGGTTCCGCCAGGTAACACGCGATTGGTCATCGGGACTACAGAGGGCAATCTCCACCTATATAAGCCCAAGTGAAAGATAATGACGACGGAAAATAATTGTTATCTTCGTAGGTGGGCGTAATAGAGGGTCGCCTCTGCGTCGTACCAGTTCTCATTTTGATACTCAGCCTGTGGGAGATGTTTTCTGAACTGCAATGCGAAAAGTTCCGAAAGTGTACTTTGAAACGGGGTTCTAAAAAACGGTCGACAAGAAAACAAAATGCAAGGTTCCAATATTAAAGGGGCGGCATCGAACTCTGGCCTGGCTGTGACTCATCGGTGTAAATATTTTGCGGATTTATTTGACAGTTGTGTAACACTATCCACCGTCGAATGTGATGGTCAGAGGTAATTTATGGAAAATAAATTCTAAGAATTAGCCGAAAAGGAATTGGAAATAAGACGATGTGTCTTATGATGCCTTTACATAACAGTGACTAAATCTCATATGAATATTGCCTTCAATTCTAGCCAATTTTCAGAGGAAAAAGTATCAGAACTGGAAAAAAATGTAGAGAACTCTCAAAGTCAAAATACCTTCTCTGGAAGGAAGGAATATAATCTTCAGCATGGAAGCAATTTTTGTTAAATAAGACAAAACTGTGATACTTTAAGGATCACTTGTATGAATCAACCCCATTTTATCCAGTCAGATTCTCAATGGAAGTCAGTTCATTCATAGGTAAAGTTCTGATTATCAGTTTGAGTATTATATATTTAATTCCAACATTCCTTGTTTATGTATTCACATACTTAACAATGATATAATGAAGGGTTGAAAAATCTACCTAATAGCTTTAACTTGGTTTTAATAACCACATAATATTAAACATTACTTTCAGAAAGTTCTGGAAAAGGCAATGTATTTTTCACAAACTATGATTTTTTTTATTTATGAATTATTATGATTAGTCCAAATCAATCCACCGCAGAATGAAGGTCTTTTCTTCACCACACTAGTCCAATGTGGGTTGACAGGCAGACATGTTTTGAGTTTCTGGTCCAGGGCTGCAAAAGAAGTGTGGTCCTAAATCACACAGCAGGTTCTGTACCTTGTGGCTTCTGTAGTATAGGGTAGTAGTGTAATAGGCATATGTCATCAGTAAACCTGGTATAGCTCAGCCCTGTGTGGGGAACAAAGCCAGATTGCCCCTGATATTACCTATAAACCATGCTACACATAAAGGAACATCAACAGCCAATTCAACTGGAATAAAAGGATGCTGAGCAGTCATGCAGAGAATGTCTCAGCGATCACAGCACAGGCATTTGTTATGGACTGGAAGCAAAGAAAGAGGCAGCAATGGTTTATATTTTCCTATAAACGTTAAGGATAAAAGCTGGATAAACTACTGTAAACAATAAGGACTAGATTTCATGAAGGGAAAGCATGATAAAACTGATCTGAGTTCCACCACTTGGGAGAATTTGAACATAAAGTCATTTTGGTCCTATTTTAGTTTAGTTTAAATGGAGTATCCTTTTGAATTTCCTAATTGCTTTCTGAGACTTAATCTTCCACACACTTTATTGTTTCCTCTTTAAAGTAGCTTAAATCAGTGAGGAAAGATGACCCTCTGTGCTGATGTAGTGCATGTATTACAAGCTATTCAAATCTAGGATCCCAAACCAATAGTTGTAAGATAGATGAAAGAACTGCTCTTTTGACCACACTATTACAAATAAGTGGCTGTTTTCATAAAACATGCTAACTATGACTAACTGAAATATCCAAAACAGGATGTGAGACAATAGCCTTCTGTAGCTGTTCCCCTGCAGTGAGTATTTAGAGCAAATTGCCTTCAGTTCCAAGGCTGATATACAAGTATCCAGACCAGTCCCTACCAAAAGCAACTTTTTCTATTATTTGGTGTAGCCTTCTTATAAAAATCTTATAAATTGGTATCTGCAGACTATCAAGTTCCATAGTTTTATGTACACATTATATAAAGAAGTATTTCTTTTTAATTCTTTTATTCACAAACCATGAAACTAACCAAAAGTAGTTCAAACCTTTCACTTGGCTGCTAGCAAAGTTATAAGATCTAATCTTATCATTCAACCTCTCCAACCTATCATTCTCCAATTCTAGGATAACTGTTTTTCCCCGTACTCTTTCTATTCCACAGAAACCTGTGTCATTCTAGATGTGCTGAATATCAAAAACAAGAGCTATGCAGTTAAACTTTGCACCTCAGGAAAAGTGTCAAGTCCACTAAGCATCACTAGCATGGAGGCAACATGTATAAGAATTTCTTAAAAAGCAAATATTCTTCTCCTGCTTGAACTTGTACAATATTTGTTATTATATTTTAGTTAAGACTCATATTTATTACAAAGCAGCTGCTCTTAGTCTAGATAATTGAGAACCTGCATTCCTTGTGAGAACAGGCCCAAATTTCTGAATTTTTGAAGGCTGCCAATCTGTTCCTAGAAAATGTCATTATGACTCCATGGATGTGAATGGAATATATTAGAAATTATAAAAGGCAAATATTAAAAATTTAAACCATTGTTCAATGTTTGAGACATTTTTGAACAAAAATCAACTGAGAATTTAAAAGGGCAGTAAGAACACTTATGATCTCTTCCACTCACTATTCATTCTTTGCTGTCTTTCTTGCCTAGCTGTAGATCTACCTTGTCAGTATTGTGTCTTGAAAGCTGCATGTCATTCTTCAGTTCAACCGATCATGACAAATATAAATGGAAAAAATAAATGAAGAGGGGGGAAACCAATAATAACACTAATATCTGGTAGTGCTATCAGTTATAGTCCTTCATACCTAAGCGGCCTTACTGGTAAATGAGAAGTACCTTTGGAGAAAGGAACTAACAACTGTTTCTGAGTGCATCAACGTCTAGAGCAGGCATGTCAAACTTGCAACATCACGTGACATCGCGCGACGTATCGGAACTTTTTCTCCATTGCCGGCAATGGGGTGGGCGCGGTTTTGGGATGACGTGTCCGGCCCACAGGCTGGCAGTTTGACATCCCTGCTCTAGAGTTAAATATGGTATTTTGGCAATGTATTAATGTCCCTTTCTTGAAATTACATTTCTAGTTCTAAGTTCTCACTGTTACTTTTAGTTTAAGTTACAAATATTAGACGAGATACAAAACATTCACATCCTTAGATAATCTCTCTAGAGGAGTAGAAACCTATAAGCATACTGCTTCTGAAAAAAATAATTTCAATTCTGTGTGACAGACATTATGTCTCTTTTTACAGTGGTCTAGCTAGTGATCCAGTCATGCTGCTCTGAAAAAAACAATAGCTGGATGAATATACAAGGGCTAGAACCTTACTTACCACCCTCCTTCCACCTCTCCCAAAGCAACAATAGTCTGCATTATAAAATGTGATTCACCTAAGTAGCAGCTATTTTGTAAAAAGGAAAACTACATTGTGATAATTGGTGTTTACTTGCTAATAGACTGATAGTTTGGGGCAATATTATAGGGAACTTTCTTCTACTATAAAGGTTTTAATGTTTGCTCCCAGTCTGTGAATATAGACATTTTAAAATTTACATTAAAATATGAACTCGTGGTTGAAACAAATTTGGTTACCAAATCTCATGCTGCTGACAAGACAGGATAATTATTATTTTTCCAATCAGCTGCTAAAAATATTTTCACTATGACCATAGCCATACTAGGACATTTCTTTGCACGTATTTGAAAATTTAAAAAATAACTATAGTTCAAGACATTTTCAACAGTGATGGCTTGCTACTATTCTATAAGATATATATTTAGGCCTGCAATGTTATGCACTTACCTTACAGTAAATTTAATTCAGTTCAACAAGGCCTATTTCTGAAATGCATCAAATTGTACTACAAAGTGTTAAAGACTAATACATATTTCTTGTATTCAACCAGGACATCAGTAGTGAGATTTGAAGAGTCTCCAGTTTCTTTCCAAGCACAGTTTGTGCATTAGGGAATTGATGCCAAGCAAGATGTCCATATTTTCTCCACATTTTGTCTTTCAGTTCTCTGCAGGGAGAACTGATTTGAAATATGTTGGAAAGGATGTCAAAAATTATTTTGCCATTGTATGATAAAAAATTACATAAAATACAATCCTTTGGAAAACATCTCTACATACAAATCATAATAGAAAAGTGGGTGTGTCAATTTGCAATCCTATCTTAAAAATGTGGCAGTGAGTTTATAATTTATGGAAAAGAAATGTTATCATTTTTTTCTTAGTGACTGTTATAGATTTCATGTAGTGCAAACTAACTCAGAATAATCAGCCTCAGAAGTATCACTTACAATGTTCTAAAACATTATTTATTTATTAAATTTCTATACTGCCCAACACACCTCCTAGGTAACTCCGGATGGTTTACATTGCTATCTGATACTTCTACTAAAAAACAATAATCTGAAGCAAACACATTCCTTAATAAAGGTACTATACTTCCAGCACTGAGATGGTACTGTATATTATTTTTTACATGTAAAATTATAGCTTTTGCTAGGCAGGGACCACAAAAACACAATTATTTATATTTAGTCTCACACAATTGGAATGAATTATAGAAAAATGTTCCTATTCTATAAATAAATAATTGACCCCTGTGCTCCAATAATGATGACTCCTTCACTCATCTCCATTCTCTGTAATTTATTTAAATATGGAGATTGCACTTATTAAAAAGCCGCTTGAACAGCGTGTTTGAAAAATTGCAGTACTTTATCATGTATTAGTCATCAGAGTAATATGTGCAGATTTTGTTGTGTGCACAATGTAGATGCACAGAATTCAAAATCAAGTGTTATGATGTGCATATACATGCACAACAACTAATCTTAAGAAAATCTGCTTGGAAGTTACCTATTATTTCAGCAAGTATGTACAAAATATGCAGCTTGTTACATGTAAGGTACCTTTATGATGGTTTAATCTGACATACAATCAACTAAAAAGCAAAAGAGCTCAGATATTTTATCAGTGTGTTTATCAGTATGAAAGAATTAGGCAGTCCAATTATAATAAACCATCATTTTCTTATAGGTCTGTATAATTTATCAATAGCCTTATTCTTTTAGCACAGAGTGCTGTACTATGGTTGGCAAGATAAGTCAGCATGGTTGAATTTAGCTGAAGTTAAATTTGAAAGAACTGAAGGGAGAACAGTTTATGCAGAAATAATTTTTTTAAAAAACATTGCTCATGATAACTCGGACAACTGCTAACTACAGATTATGGCAGAATGTGGACTAAGTGGCCTCATGACTGCCAATCATGGAGGCAGTGGATTTAATTGAGTTTTCAAAAAACACTGGCAGTGTACCCAAGATTGCTTGGCAGGCCACACGTACCCGAGTCATATGTTATAGAGGGATACTATATAGCCTCAAAAGTCTGGTTCAGTTCCAAGCATTCTATCTTTTTGTGATAGTTAAAGTGCATGAATGGGTGGTGGTAAAATAGCTTCTTTAGAGTTAGCTCCTGTAGTGAGTACAGCACATGGCCTTGGAGGGCAAAGGGAAGATCTGTTACCTAGGCAACAATTAGAGAAATGAGACTTGAAGTCAAGAAGGAATTTAGGAAAATGCCTCAAACAAGTTAAAAGTTAAGTCTTATTTTGCTCCAGGCTATTCTTACAATGTCTATTCTCTAGTCTTATATTGTTACCTGAAACATTCTGGTCAAAGACTATTTGCTTCATTTACAGTAAACCAGCATGTTCTACTTGAATCAGCTGCATTTTCTTTGGGGATTCTTTGTTTAGTTGTATGAGTTGTTTTTCACCCAAATTAACAATTATGTCATATATATTTTACAAAACTGAATGTGTGAATATTTATCTTGAAAGCAGAATGGAATATTATGTTTTATATCTTCTTTAATAGTAGATATTAAGAGGGGAGACTGAGTAGAATCCTCTATCAACATACCTCTGTTTCATATAGCCAGGTAGTAGCATTTTAGAATTTATTTCAACCTTTGAATTTTAATCACCAATGAAACAACACAAGTTTAAGAGCCCTGCCCCTTTCACATGCCAAATAGGAGAAAGTTATTAGGTAAAACACATCTTACAGGAGGAAACAGGGACAAACACACTATTCTGGTATGAAGAACTAGAATGATTTTGAGAGATGATGCCTGAAATCTCTGGTGTTCTATGAGCTCACCTGTTTGCTACACTCAATTTTGAATATTTTTTATCAAGGTACAGACAATGGTAATAAAATCCATGGTCTATAATTTAGAAATATTGAGTAATACATTGCAAGTCATTCTATTCTTTGCAGCAGTACAAGTCTTGGGCACTCAAGTCTAAGAGTAGCCAATCAAATGCGCCAAGCTTCTAGGATAAAGTGTTCAAGTAAGATCAATTTAATATCCATTATAAATCTTGCTTTATCTGAAATAATTTCAATTGAATGTATTTATAAAGATGCCTCCATTCATAATTCTTTTTCATTAAATTGAGGAAAGAGAGAAGAAAGGAAATGAATACATAGATAACAGCAATTTAAAAGAAAGGATGTGCATTCAACATCCAGGTGAAATAAATTTGACATTTTCAGCATGAGCAGACATCAGAGACAAATATGTTGATAACAGTAACTACATTATTTAAATTTTGAAGTAAATATATATGAGACTGCATTACACTGAGCCATAATTTTGGAACATCTAATCCAGTATTGTTAAATAAGTGTAAGTAATTGTCTTTCAAACACATCTTCTTGATTTTATATCACTAGGATGCCTAGTGAAACTGGCGGTGGGGGGTGGGAGATGTCATCTTGTAATTTCTGTAATTGCTGTTGTATATCTTATTGAAGACAGATGACAATTCAAAAGAGTAAATAAAACATGTAAGATTGTGAAATCAATCTTCTTTCATCAATCCTAGGCATTTTTAGAAATATAGGACTAACTTAAAGTTACAAATTTGATCAGTAATATGCTACTTCAGCTGAAAAGCAGCCTTTGTAATATCTACATTCAGACATAGATAAACAGTTAAGTAGAATCAAATGTCCCCAGAATTTTGATATGGAGAAACTATTTTGATGATAACATTCATAAGTCATATCAGATACTTCAGACACATGCCTACCAAGGTGGCTAACTGCTTTTCTAACAAGATTGTGAAATTAGAGAAGATTTTAAATAACCATTAGCATACTTTCCAAATGTTTGCATCAAATACTAAATGTCATCATTTTATAAGAACGCAACATTAATGCCATTGAAAATAGTTTCTAATAAAATCTGTTATCACAAAAGGTGGCAAAATGTACTCAAAAGCAGCTTCTTTATTACAGGGTTTGAAGTATACATACATACCTCTCCAGTGCAAAATAGTCCCACAGCACTACTGACTCTCAGTTCCCCACCCTTTCCAAAACAATACCCGCTACCTGGGGACAGCTATAATGACAAACAAAATCAAGCAAGCATTAAGAAATATGCACAATGTTTGATATTATCTCTATTCAGGAGCAATTGTAGTTTTAACATTAGAAAACAAGTAAATCATGAATCACCACCACATAAACACTCTCAGAATTTTCACTAATACATGCTCTAATTTGAATTTCACTGCTTACGAGCAATTGCATGTAGTTGCTAAGCTTGTATTTTAAGCTTACAAGTATGAACTTCAAGAGGTTCAAAATATTAATTTCAATTGTAGGAATGATCCTCCCTCCTTAAAATTGGATTTAAAGTCCAATTTTCTCTCTAAACACTTCCTCAATGTTCTTCTAATTTATAGGCATACCCCAGATCACTTCTCTTCAATACTTATGTTGTACACTCAGAGGTAGCAAGCTACAGAAAGAAAGAAGGCATGGAAAGTCTCCCTCCCTATCATCTGAGCTAATGTCCAAGAATCTAGCACAAACCTGAATGGGAAAGAAAAAAGATCCATCATTTATCCATTTTACAGCATATACTGCCTATTATATCAGCAAAACATAGAGGGGTAGAGAAAAAGAAATATTGGCATTTATGGGAATCATATAAATTCAAGTGCCTCCAAAATAAAATGAACAATTTCACAAATGCAAATTAGATAGCTAACATATCTAATTGCATGTTCCTACATAAGCACTAACTAAAGTTAATACGGCACTTTATTTTTTATTGGCAGATTTAAAAACAAATAAACAAAATAAGCTTACTGGAAAAGGAACAAAATAAGAATACTGTTGACAAATATAATATTTGGGGGGGAAGAAAAGTTAAACTGCTATTAAAATCATTGAATACTTTTAGGCTAAACTCTTCAAAGTTGATCAACCACTCCATTTTCAGATATTCTAACTGATTCAAGATTAAATTCAAAGGATAATTCATATTAAAATACACCTGCATATTCTACCACTATCCTATACACCTTCTAATCTAAGCAGACATCAAAACACAGAAGGGATGTATTAGGTATTCATTAATGTTTTTTTAGGATATGGGACATTAGATATGACTGCAGAGAGACTGAACCTTTGTCTTCCTAATAAAGAAAGCCCATACTGGAAATTGTAACAGAAGTTGTGCATTTTGACTCACAATGTTACTGTTTCCAAGTAACTATACTTCACTAGATATTATGTTCCAATTCACTGTCACAAACAAATGTAAGTAGCACCGTCAACCCTGACTTAGCAAGCAGGGATAGGCAATGCTTTAGATTTGACTCTTTAAAAAATGCTTCAGAGCACATAAGGCCAGGAACATGGCAGCTGCTTGCAGCCCTTTAAAGTAGACTCATCTTTCCCCAGGATCATGGTAGCTGTAGGGAACAGCCATGTGATCCCACAAAAAAATGCAATTTCTTTAAAAAGGTGCAGATAGATGCTACATTTATGCTCCAATGTTCCATTTCCAATTTATGTTTACACCAGTGTACCACCCTAATAAGGGCTGATATATAGCACACATAATGCAAAAGCCCATCCAGTCTTCATCTAATGAGAATATTGGTATCTCATTTGAACTTATAAGTAACTATTGGTCAGTATCTAACTACAAATCCAGAATACTGCTTGTACTGTTCCACCAAATGTATAAATCTAAAAATATGCAAGTTCAACAAATTCTTGCAAATGTTGAGCTGCTTCTGAAACTGTGAAGGACCAGAAATGTATATATAAAAATAAAATCCACAGATAAGCAATACACCTTTCTTTGGAGAAAGTACCTAATCTCCTGAACATCTGATGGCCAAAATTACTAAACATTTTTATAGGGAAAGAATGACCTTTCACATGATTTTATTGTCACTGCCAGCAATTCTTAATTTCCATATGTAAAGTTAAGAGTTTTGTAAATAAAGACCAAAACAATCTGTATTTTAATGGACAAATCCAGCAATCATTGAAGGATTAAGATGTTTAAAGTCCAATATGGTGACCAACTTGCCTACTTAGAATGAACTGTATTTGAAAATTCTCTTTCTTGATGCATGTTCTGGCAATATGGGAATTTCCAGTGTAATTAGAAATGTGAAAAAGTGAGTTGATATAATGCATTTTCATTGTATTACTAGTTTCTTGGCTCGTTATTACAGAGTACCTGAGATGCTGGGAAAGCATGAATATAGTGCATTGAAAGGAGGTGAAATAGTGAATTTTAGTAAACAGGAGGAAGTTTACCAATAATCCAGACAGTTTATACCCCAGGAGACGCATCTTCCATTTCCAGTTCAGAAGTTAAACATCAGCAACTCAGTGCAGTTGTATAAACAGCATCAATTCATCCCACATTAAACTACTTTCTTGGCACAATTTATTTTTCCTGGCCCAAACAAACAAGAAATCACTATTAGAATATCATTAACAATATTCTATTCTAAAGTGTCAGTTTAACAGCCCTCTAAAAACATTTTAGAGTTTTAAAAAAGTGTGCATTCTATAGATATTAAAACTGCAGTCACTCCATCAGGAGTCTCAGTTCTCTTTCAAACAATTCTCTGTGTCCTAATCAGTTCAATGAGACACAAAACCTTCAGTTAAAGGCAATAGTTTGCTATTGTGGAAAGTGTCACACATATACTTAGTAAAATAAATTATTATTATTGTATTGTATACTTCAAGACATTAATTAAGCTCATTCAGCTAAATTTTATTATTTGTTAAAATGAAGGGCAATAAAGTGGCATAACATAATTTTTCATTTGTTTGAGATCAAGTTTAAGCCACTTTTTTCAATGCACCTTTCAGCACATACTGTGTATTGCTTTTAGTTTCAATGATACCATATTAAGGAATGCTATCCTATTAACAGAAAGTAGGGAATTAAAAAATAAGAAATATTATTGGTTTTATAGCAACTGTCCATTGAAGAAACTATACTAATTTACTTTTCATCAGGCTGCATGACTATTTCAGAATATTTTAAATGTATTTTAAGCATATAAGGGAAAGGAAGAATTATCTATTAAACTGGAGTACTGCAGGTTTAATTTCACATCTTGGCTATACTGTGACAAAGAAGTAGTCACCAAATATAGCAACTAGGTCCTGTCTCAAGCCAGGGATGAACTAATGCCCCTCCCCAAATCTACCCAGATCCACCCCCTCCCACAGCCCTTTCCAAAAACAAGACAACACTGTTGGCAAATCAAGACAGTATGAAACATCAACAGAAATAAAAATGCGATGTGTGCCAATGCATCAGGTTAACTATCCTATTAAATGACACAGATCCCCATACAAACAATTCTACTTGGGACTAGCTGTACCTTTGCTGCTTAAGAAATTAAGTCTACAATTTTGAGTGTGCTCCATGATACAATATTACAGACAAAGGAGACTAGACACTTGAAATTTTTCCCTGGGAATTCTTTTCAGGGACATAAGGTGACTGTCCCACCAAGAGGTGACACTCAAAGTACAATCCAATGCTTTTAGTACAAATTACAATATCCAGTTCAGTAAGATGTAAGGCATATGGACAAAAAAAAAAAGACACCAGCAGTTTGCAACAGGAAGATAAATCATTTTACACTATTAAAAGCATTAGTGCTTGATGTTCCAGTTCACATTTTTAAAATCATTTCAAATCCCTGATTCCTATTTACTGAAGTTGGAATTCATTAAGCTTCTGAACCCATATGCTTTTGAATGAAGAATGATCAATTCTTTGTGCTTCTGTCCATTGTTACATGACATACTGATTGAAACTATGGAAAGAATTGAGCACCAGGGATGCTTTGCAAGTCTCCTTCAAGTCTCATTGTATTAAGTTTGGGTCAGGGAACAGGATGCAGGGAATGAAACTGGCCCAGCCACTAGCACTATCATAAAGAAATGCTTTTAAAGAACAAGGCAGACAAGTTTATGAAGCCCTCTTTATAGAAGTAGCTTGTGTTTTTTTAAAAAAATCTTGCAAAAATCAGTGTTAGATTTCTCCCTCTAAAAATGTTACGTGCAGATGTGGAGCAAGTGGCCACCACACAGACCTCAACAGTACCTTACAGTACAAAATCTAAGACATAAAGACTTGATCTCACATTTGTAGCCTTCTTTACTGAAAAGATAAGAGATTTGGCTATGGCTGGAATAATATACAAGAACATTTCAGAAGACAAGGCATAGATGAAACTAATAGCCTTGCTGTTCACATTGTCAAAATTTTGTTAATAGGGAAGGGGAACTTCATGCACAAAATGTGTATTACAAAATACATATCCAAGAAAAAGCAAAAACAAAAAATCCCAAACCACCCACTTTGCACTATAATGCAACACTCAAACATCTGCTCTGCCAAAGGCTGCTGCACATGTCTTGTTTACCAAATAACACATGTGAAAGCCGCAAGAAGAGGGGAAGAAAGGAAATCCAAGTTTCAGTCTATGTTTCAAACTTTTCTGATAGGGTTATCTTCAGTCATCTGATGTCGGATAGTGTGCTCTCCTTCGAGAATGATGTGGTCACAACAGGAGTGCCATTATTAGCCAAACAGCCTTGCCTTAAGGTTTCAAAGTATGAAGCCTGTACAGGTTTGTGATACTGCAGAACTTTTATGGCATCATCTATCTTAAACCATTCCCTTTTCCTTCCTGCAGATAAATAAAAAGGGGAAAATATTGAACCTCAACAACTGAAGTATTTACAATCTTCTCTATATGCAATTGTTTCACAACAACAAGCTGTATGTTGATTGTTACTATTAATAATGAATTCATTAAGTAGGCTTATCTTTTCAAAATGCAAAAAAACTATTCAATGTTTCACAATAAAGGTATACTACTGTATAGAGCAAAATATCTTCAGGGTACTAAACACCCGTAAATTCTTAAACATTTATGAACTTCATTCTGAATGAGTTTAAGGATATAGAACGTAACATACCTTCAAAGAAGACTTTGGCACAAGCAACCTAACTAATCAACCGCCTTAAAATTCAAATACAGGAAAAATTGAGTTTTATTGTATCACCTGTAAAGTTTATTGTACATACAATGCTTTCTGTTAAGTAATTTACTATATTTAGTAGCTGAGAAGAAAATAATTTGGTTAACAAGCTTTCAGTCAAGTAAAACTGTTTATTTTCTATGATTTTTTTCAAGTGTACAAATTTAAATTACTGTATGATTAAAAGGATGTGTGCAATAGAATGGAAAATAAAAACCTGAACCACACGAAGAACTTGTTATAGTTCTGTAAACTGTAAATGGTGTGGTTGTTATTCAAGGATATAAACATGGAAAATCTAAGATTAGGAAATAGCCCCAGATCATGGAAATTATAAAGTAAGACTGTTGCCTTAAAAAGCACATATTCTAGATACTATTTTATCATTTCTGTGCCTTTTGGAAACATGAGGGAATTTGTAAGAGACTGAACTCTTAAAATGACAGCGTTTTGTCTTAACCTATTTTTATCCTAATACTTAGAAGGTTACGATCAAATAAAAATAGCTATTTTATGCATGTTGCTCGGCATACTGCAAAAGTGTTTGGTTAACTCTAGGTTAGAGGTGCACAACCGATTCTGAAAAAAGGATCTGATTATGCACTATCAAGTTTTAAAAAACACATATTTTTATGAAAATATAAGCAAGAAAAATACAATAAGCTTCATAACAACTGCAAAAAATATTCCAAGTAAGATTTTTATTTTTTAACTTACATTTTACAAACCTTAATCCAAATAGAGGGATTCAACTATTATCCTCCTAAAGAGAATCAGGAACACAAATGAATGTGCTTGCTTACCGATATTCACAGAATCCTCCCAATCTTCCAATACTTCTGTGACAATAAGTACGTAAACATATGTTCTGTGTTTCCTGTCTTGGTTCTGAAAGGATGATCAACATTAAAGCTAATTTGAAGAAATATAAAACTACAACAATGATAATCTTAGCATTGAGTTGAAAAGATACTTACAATATGTCACACCAACAGCAATGCTCAATTGTGACTTGATTTCTTAATCAAGGAGTTTCAGATACTACTAGTAAGTTAAAATATAAATAAAACTTCTTTAAGCATTTTTGTCCTACATTTTGAAGAGGGTTCACATGAGAGAACATTTATCTTTTAATCTAACCTAACAGAATCTCTATACATCTCCAAACTTTAATCACATATAAAAATGTTTTATCAATTCTGGTGATATTTGTACTTACCTCAAAAATTCCTACTAATCTTCCTAATGTCCCTTTCACTCCAGCCTGTGATATATTCAAAGAAAATAAAAAAGCATTTAATATAAGTCATAGCTCAAATTATTTTAAAAGACATTTATAATTTAAATTATATATTTTACAAATTTTTAAGAACTATATATAAATCTGTGATAATATAATTTACATTGTACAATGGTGAAAGTTTGGGAATTTTTAGAAATATTCATTGTCAATATTGTGATCTACCGTATGATTTGCTTTGAGACAAAAAACAGCTCTAATATGTAGATATCTGTGCGGATATGGGCTGTGATAATTTTGAACAAGCTAGTAAGTGGTGGCCATGAACACATAAGCTATTTCTCCCCTCCCCAGAGGTTTAAGTTGAAATGTGCTTGAACTGAAAATCTAAAGAAATCTAGTACCAACATGTGAAAAGATGAGCAGGTAGAAGTTGAAGCTGTACAGTTTGAAAGGTTAGTAAAGTAGCATCATCTATATTCTCTTGCCTTGTTTCTCAGGTGCAAGCTCACAAAACAACACCTCATATCCAGTTATTGGTGAAACAGTGCCTCTGGATATCTTCAAAGTCACCAATAACAATCTCACCACACCAACCCTCTCTACCTTAAGGCTGCGCCTAAAGTACCTAAAACCCAGATAAGCACATTTCTGAAAGGCGAACCCTCCTTTTCTCACCTGTCCAGATCGTTATAATATATGTCAGGTCTATTTTCTCATTCAAAACATGAATTACAGATTTCTCACAGGTATACCTAGCATTTAATGTCATCAGCCAAATTTCAAGATATAACCATTAAACTTTCTAACTCCTGTGCACCCTTATATCCTGCTCTCACCTAAATTAGGTAAGGATAAGGCTTAGGATTATCCTTTGGGGTTTGGGGGCAGGCAGAATCCTCTACCGTTAGCTCTTGTCTCTCACTTAAATGGAGGTCTGTAATGCCAGTCCCAGCACTTCCCCAGTTCAATACTCCTTTTTTTCAGTCCAGAGCGCCCCTCCCCCCCCGATTTTGTACTGTCTATTCTCAAAAATAGGTGTGCTTCCTTAAACATTCAGTAAACTCTAAATTTTGTTGCTCTTTAACAAGGTAGTCCTCAATTTATGACCACAACTGAGCCTCAAATTTCTGATGTTAAACAAGACAGTTGTTAAGTGAGCTTTGCCCCATTTTACAACCTTTCTTGCTACAATTAAGTGAATCACTGCAGTGAATAAGTTAGTAACATGGTTGTTAAATGAATCTGGCTTTCCTATTCTTTTGCTTCTCAGAAGGTTGCAAAAGATGATCACATGACTCCGGGACACGGCAACCATCATAAATCTGAACCAATGCCAAACATCTGAATTTTGGTCATGTGACCAAGGGATGCTGCAACAATCGTAAGTAAGAAAAATGGTCATAAGTCATTTTTTTCAGTGTCGTTGTAACTTTGAACACTTATTAAATGAACTGTTAAGTTTAGAACTACCTGTACTATACAATTAATATTTGGACAATTCTGAAAGTGAAAGGAATGAGCAGAAAGAACAGACAACTTTCAATCCAAGCATGATCTGAAGACATACCTCTTCACAAACTTCCCGCACAGCAGCCACACTAGGCTCCTCTTCAGGCTCCATTCCACCTCCAGGGACAATCCATCTGTCAGGATGACGACTACTGCTAACTAACAGCACCTATAAATAACAACAGAGCTTCTGTACATGTTTACACCTCAGTTATATAATTCTACAATTACAAGATGGTATCCTGCTATGTAAAATTAGTACATTTTTTAAAATTCCCAAACCTATTCTAATATTCTCTTTTTGCCTAAAGTCCACCCGTACTTAGATAAAGACAGATTGGAAGTTATATTTATTTACTTACTTATAACCACTTTTATTATATGTATAAATAATTCAAGGTGGCGAACATACCTAATACTTCTTCCTCTTCCTATATTCCCCTCAAAATCCTGTGAGGTGGGTAGGTTGGGAGGGAGAAACTGGCCCCAAGTTACCACATTTTTATCCTTTATTACTTTATAAGTAACTCAATGTGGCAAACATACACAGTCCTCTTTCCCCACAACAATCATTTATGAAATAAGTTTAAAGTGGACTGATTGAAATACATCCCAAAAAGTCAGGAACAGAAGCAGGCAAGCTCTATTAAGTACGTTAAAACACCAAACTTATTTGAAAACAGAAATAAGCAAACATTAAATTCCCTTTAAGAACCGGCTTTGAAGCATGAGACAAAGCTGTTTTTAACAAAATTATAAAAATGTTCATCTGAAATAGTCAGACGTCTGCCAACTATGACAAATGTCTTCCCTCTATCTCTGCATATATGCATACCCTGCTTCTCCCAAATGACTCAATGTAAAATGGAGCACAGAACTAGCAATCATCAAAAGGCAAACATACAATGGACTAACAGCAAAAGATTTGAAACAAGTAGCATTTGCAAATACTTTGTAGCCAACCATGGTTATATTAATCCAAGAATATTCTTAAATTTAATAAACAAAAGCCAAGCTGAATTCATACATATGCCACTGTTCTAAACAGCCCAATAGAAAGCATTAAAACTACTGAACATTAATTAATTAATTAATTAATTCATTTTCTATAGCCATACATCTCAGTCATTGATTCTGGACGATTAATTAAATTAAAAATACTAAAAAAAATTAAAAATTAAAAACCAGGTTTTTTCTATTAATGAGA